ATATATATATATATCATTAAATTTTCCCAGAAAATCTGATGGAAATGTTGAAAAAATTGTAAAGGCCAACAAAGCTTTTTGAAACCATAAGTATAGTGGCATATGTTATGGTACTTTCTCAAAATAAGCATTTGCTTTGCTAATTTGAAGTACTCTGAAATATCACCTCCTGGTTCTTGCTTCATCTTAAGACCTGCCCCCCATCAATTTATAGCCCACATAATTTTTTTCCTTCTTATTTTCTCTTTTATTTTATTTTATTTTTTAAATTACCATTGTAGGAACAATTAATCATCCTTTTTTTATAATTTGAACCGCTAAGTATTTAAATTAACTATTTAAATATAATTAATAGTTAATATTTAGTGATTAATAATCATTATTATTTATAATTAAAAATATTTAATCAATTTAATTAGATTTAATAGCTGATAACTAATAATGAAACTCTAAAATAAAAATCTCTTAACACCATATTATAAAGGGTTTGTCTAACTTATACCTTAAGGATATATGTTAAGACTATATTAATTATATTTTTTTATTATAAATTTATATTAAAAAATAAAAATCAACCTTTAATTCATTAATTATCTAATTAAATTTACCTAATACTAAAATTAATATTTTTTATATGTTTTTTAATATCTTTTTATATATGTCAACTTTTAAGGCTCATGTTAAAAAACCCCATTATAAAAAGTAGACCTTTAGAGCAGAGAAAGACTCCCACGTTCAGGTGTCTGCACCATCTGCACCGTCTAATGGCTTGTTTTGTGTAATCATGCACAATTTGAAATTTACAGAATATTTCTATAAGGACAAACATCATGTTTTTATATTTAAATATTTGCGGTAGATGGCAATTGATTGAGAAGTCAAAAAATGGAGGCCGAACCGAGACCAATTTTTTTTTTTTTTAAATTATGTGAGACTAACTCATAAAAAAATGATTTTGAAATAATTTTTTTTGTATTGTTTTTTGATATAATTTGACATATCATTTTAATAATTGATTTTTTTTATTTATATGAAACTCATGATACTAAATATATCTACTCACTTAATGACATACAAAAATTATATCAAAATATGATATTAAAAAATTATTCCTATACCATCACTCAACTCATAATAATAGAAGACTTATTTTTTTACCAACAATAGTTGAAATAATTTTGGCATTTAAATCACAATTTTTAGTAGAGGAAATTATTATATATCTTAATAAACACCTTAATAAAAAGAACTATCTCACATTATGTAATTTTTAAATACCTTAATAAAAAGAACTATCTCACATTGTATAATTAAAAATTAGAAAAGAAAAAAAAATATCTTTTAACCACCAACAAAGTTAAAGCTCTGAAAGTGCACATATACATAGACTCCATTTTTTCCATCCACAAAAGGCAGTGGCCTTTCCCCATGATGAGGGTACCAGTTTGTTTGTTTTTGCCCTTTTTTTTTTTTTCTGCTTCTTCTTCATCTTCTTCTTCTTTCCGAAACTAGTACAATTTTGACGGATGGGGGAAGAGGTTACCAGGATTTGAACCCCGGCAATGGTGCCACACTAAGGTGGCTGGCGAGCTCCCACCGGTGTTTGGAGATGACTGTTTGGTTTCCTGCTAATGAAATGCAACTTCTCCACTGGTCTCATGGGATGTATCCTAAAAAAGCTTTGCGAACAAACAACAAAATCTCAACTTGGTGCTCAT